TTTCGGAACTGAAGAATCAGCTCGCTTTTAATTAATGAATTTTAATTGGAATTGGAATTGTTGTTAATTAAGAGGAATGTGCTAAATTGCAATTCAAAGAAATTTGGCACAGTCACACAACAGAGAAATTTTGTTAGTTTAGTTTTATGACCCAAACATTTTAGATTTTTTTACCCAATTAATATATATTTAAAATTATGTAAAAATTCTAACTTTTAAAATGATATATTATATATTTTAATATATATTAAGATATATTTTATTTATTTATTTATTATATTTAAGATATATTTTATAATTTCTAATTGTACTGTCTATCTATCTATCTATATATATATATATATATATATATACAGTGGTGTGAAAAAGTGTTGGCCCCCTCCCTGTTTTCTTATATTATTATTTTTTTTATTTAAATAAGTTATTATTTTACACACACATATACTGTATATATATATATATATACAAATAATATTATGATTTATAATGTAATGCTTATTTATATATATATATATATATATATATATATATATATATAATTTGTTTATTTAATGTAAAAATAATACTTTTATAAACAAGTACAAACAGTAAAACCATTGTAAAATTTTCAAATCGATTTAAGGAAGAATGACTGTACAAATTATTGACACAGACATTCGTTCTGCTTGTGTTTCATGAATGAGGCCTTTCACCTGTAGGCTTGTTCTGTGTTGTGTGTCTTATTTGGTTTGTAAACCTTTGTAATCCTTTAAATGAGATCATTCTGTTCTGATTGCTGTCGGCAGATTTAATTCCCAGATCTCACGTAGCTCCATCAGATGAGAGCGATCCAGCCCTCCCTTTCCCAGTGTCTCATCCCAGCTCGTGACTTCACTCCCAGTCCCCGCAGATCACAGAGACGAAGCACTGTAATTGATATTCCGACAGCCTTTCGGGAGTGCTAGGTTGACTGGACAGAAAATCCACTTGGCATGGCTCACAGGGATGAGAAGGACTTGGCAGCAGTGACATATGGTGCGCTGTAAGCCACCATCATCCTCAGATTTTTTGCTCGCCGCTCCGGTCAAGCACTCGCTGGCTGAGGCACTGGAGCGTTGAGAGTCTCATAGCCCGAGCCGGTCTGAAATTAGCTTGTTATCTCTGGCCTGAGATGGTACGGTCCATGTTTGCACCCTTTGGCTGCAGGTTTATTAGTCAGATATGTAGTAGATGACCCTTAACAGCCTGCTGATTTGATTTACCGCCAATTGTAATGCCTCGCTGTAAAGATTTGCTTTCAGTGGGTCTGTTTTTTCCTCTGAATGCTCTTTTTAATTGATTGCTGCAGCATAAACTAACCAGCACCTATGGCTAGTGGTAATGCCACTGTTTAATTTTCAGTGAAATAGCATATGAGGTACTGTAAACTGCAATGATGATATGCTGATCTGGTTTAACTGTTATTTTAATTAAAAAATGTTATACACATGCATATTAATTATATTATATAATAAATATATACAAAATAAAATTAATAAAATAATAAATTATATTAACATTATTGTTATTAACATTTATAATTACATTATTGTCGCGATTCACTTAAGTTAGTTAAAGCGTACGACGAAGAGGAGTAGTTCAATCCACAGTCTATAATAAATCCACAGGGAAACGACAGAGAAAATCCAACAGAGCAGAGCAAAAGCAAAACCCCATTTAAACTAATAACCGGCAAAGGACTGAACAGAACAGGGAGAACTAATACAGATACTAAACGAGGGAACTAATGAGAAGACTAACGAACACAGGTGAACTGAATGAACTAATCAAAGGAGAGACAGAAACTAGGTCAAAGGAGCACGTGGGATGAATGAAAACAAACTCAAAGTCCATAAACGAACATAACTGTGACAATTATAAAATTTTACTTTTAATTTTATAATAAATAATTAAATAATTTTATAATATGATCATTTTATATAAAGTCTATTTTATATGTAAACATAATTATATATATATATATATATATATATATATATATATATATATATATATATATATATATATATATATATATATATATATATATATATATAT